AGTGCCTTCAATGCTAGCAATCACTAATCGCAGCTTCGAGCAGTCTTTAGCAGAAGTCTGAGGTCCTAAACGTTAGTCCCAACGCTAGAAAAAGTGGCACCTGGTTTAGGTGTGCCAAGGATGTCCGCTTGCCGAACTGTGATCTAGAACCAAAAGAGCTAAAACAAGGCCATATTGGCACTGCCAATCATTTCATGCCTTTCTCGTGCCCTGGGGAACAATTTCTCGCTGACGAAAAACAAAACAAATGGACTTGCAACTGTCCAGAAACAACTTTATGACTCAGTGACCTGATGAGGCTTTGGATCTATTGCATACAGATCCAAGACCTCATATCCAAATACGCAGAAATAGTGCATCGTCAGCAATGCCAAATCTCATAGCGCTCCGGTGTTTCCGTGTGCTGTTTTCTCAGCAATGTCGCTTGGATAATTGTGGAACGACCTCCGGGCACGGTCATCGTTAGATAACTAATACTTAACCTACAGTCGCCAGATTTTTTACTTGATATGGTCCGGCTCAAGGTAGGGGTGTAGTTTCCCCAAATGAGTCGCAGGGGAGGGGGGGGGGGGGCTAGGCAGTGAAAAATGGCACAACCTATAAAAAAACAAAAACAAAAAAAAACACAACAAAAAAAGAAGCCAACACGCGCGTTTCTAACAGGATTCAGCCCACTTTTTTCTCAACGTTGGGGCTGGAGCCCAAGCTGGGCAAGCCGAAATGGGGTGGAGGGGGGGGGGGCTGAAGCCCCAAACTGAATAGGAGCCTACACCCCTTGCTCACGGGCTGTGTCGACACAGTGCTTAGTTTAATGAGTGGAAACTGGGTTTCCTGTGACTTTCCTAAACCTTTCGAAAATCCTGAATGTCATGGTCGGCTACCACAATTTCCTCCATGCATCGCCGTAGGGATCATGCCAGACATTCTAGCAAAAACCACAAAAAAAGTGAAGGCCTCCCGGCCCCCTCTGCTTCTAGGCCCATGATTTTACACAGTTATACTATGAATCATGACGCCGTGCATAGCACGCTTCACGCATTTGTTTATGCATGCGTCCGCGACCCTGTGCTGACAATGAAAACGCTAGGTGCAGCTGGGAGCCAGTGGTACAAGCAGACCTATCTTAAGAAGGTGATGGGGGAGGGGGCAGGTCATTTGGCATCGCCCGCGAAAGCCTTGCTCTTCTTAAAATGAGCGGAATCAAGTTAACTGGTCACTGTAAACCATGCTATAATGGTTTAAGTAGATACGCCACACGTTTCTGAATGGTTTTAGCACCTTCACTTTGCTCTATGTCCAATATGATGGCAATAAATGATGTTTTCCCTCACAGCTGCCTCCTCCCCCCCCCCCCCATTTGGTATGAGGCGGCGCGTAAATTTGCGGTGCGGCTGACGACTGATTATGCAAAAATAGTTCAGTCTGTCAACACTTCCACCTGAATGTATGACGACCCGCAACCACAAAATTACTGCCAACCTGATGACAGTTACATATGCGCCTAAGTCCAGCAAGTCCATGATGGCTTCCGGCGCTTTCCGTCATGTGTGAGGCCCCTAGCCGACGTACGGTGGCCGAACAGAACCAGAGGGACGGAACGGGGCCACACGGAGCCGGACGGAAGCGGACGGCACCGGAGCGAGCTGGAACACTATAAAGCAAGATGGAACTGGACGGAACTACTCCAAACCAGACTGGGCGCGACCAGACCAGACGGGAGCGAATGAATCCGGACGAGATAGGATCAGATGGGACCGGACAGTAATGGACAGGCCCAGACGGGATCGGACGGCACTGGACGTGACCGGACGGAACCGGACGGAAAAGAAATGGGCCAGCGGGACAGGACGGAACCAGAAGGGACTTATTAGAGCCGGACGGAATCGGTTGGCATTAAACGTGACCGAAATGAACCGGGTGGGACAAAACGGGAAACATGAAACCGGACCCGACGGGACGGAACCGGACAAAACCGGACGTAACCTCATGAGGTAAGACTGAACCAGACCAAACCAGACGAGACCGGGCGAAACCAGATCAGATAGGACCGGACTTAAGCAGATGAGACCTTTTGGGGTTAGGTGGGACGGGACGGGACCGGATGGAGGCGGGCAGGGCCAGACGGGACTGAGCGGAATTGGACGCCACCGGGCATTACAGGAAGCAAGCGAACGGAACATCACAGGACCAGACGGGACTGAGCGGAATTGGACGCCACCGGGCATTACAGGAAGCAAGCGAACGGAACATCACTGAAGCCAGATGGTACCGGAGCGGATCGGGAGGGACCTGGCCGAACTGGACGGGACAGGACCGGACAGGACCGGACGGAACAGAACCGGACAGGACAGGACCGGACGGGACCGAAGGGGACTGGACTGGATCGGACGGGAGCGGACAGGATCGGACGGGACCGGACATGAGCAGACAAGATCGGACAGAACCGGGTAAGATGGAATGGGACCAAACGGGATCGGACAGGACCGGACAGGATCCGACGGGACCGGACAGGATTGGACCTGACCAGACAGGGTCAGATGAAATCGGACGGCAACGGACGTGACCGAATACAAAACGCTACAAATGGGATCAGACGGTACAGGGTGAAACGGCAGAGACCAGATGGGGATCAGGTGGAACCGTGCACGACCTGGGACCGGGCTAGACTGGACGATGCCTGATGGGACCACACATATGGTGTGCTGGGACGGGATCGGACGGCAAGTCACGTGGCCGATGGCAACGGGACGGAACGGGACGGGACAGGACGGGGCAGGGCGGCACTAGCTGGGACTAGAATGGAACCTTCAGGACTAGACCGGGCCCGTCTGATTCCGTCAGGGCCCGTAGGGTGCTGTATGATCCCACCTGGTACCACTTGGCCTCGTTTGGTCTGGTTTAGTCCGGTCCCATTTGGTTTATTCAGTCTTGTCTAGCCTATTTGGTTCCATCCAGCCATGTCCAGCCCATTCTCGCCTCCTCCAGCCCACTCCAGTCGCGTCCAGTCCCATCCGGTGCCTCCCCATCGCGTCTGGTCCCATGCGCCACTGTCTAGTCCTGCGCCACCTCGTCCGATCCGGACCATCTCTGGCGATCCCGCGCCGTCCGGTTACGTCTGGTACCGTCCGGCTTCTATCCGTAAAGCCCAATGGTGTTTGATATCGTCTAATCCCACCTGGTTTGGCTCAATCACTTAATCACTTCCAAGCCCGTTTGGTTCCATCTGGTCCGTTCTCAGCCATAAGGTGCGGTTCAGCCCCACAACGTTCCTTCCGGTTTCATCCGGTCCCGTCCGATCGTGTCCGATCCCACTTGGCTCTGTTCAGCTCATGGGTGTAGGAACAGGGGGGGGGGGGGCAGGGGCCATGGTCCCAATTTTCAAGGTGGGTGGCCAGCAGGGTCCCCCCCCCCCCACACACACACACATTGTTCAAATGAGGGCTGTGTCTAGCTTAATTTTGAGCTGCATTTAACGTACATGACGATTTACATATTTCATCACCCACCTTCATCAAGACGTGTCATCTTTTTCGTTCGCTTATTGGCCATCGCTTAGTGTCACAGCAGCAAGGCCGACGTCGCGCGGCCCATGGAGACTGTAACGCGGGGCGTCGAGGCTGTTGCTGCTACAACTTGCGAGCGCGCACGTTCAAAACCATTTTACATAGTTTTTTATCGGTAATCATTTCTGATTTAATCTTGAATATTTTAAGATGACCATGGATTAGCCATGCTGGTAAAAATTTGGGACCCCCTCTCATCTTTAATCTACGTTCAGGGGGTCCTCATTATTTCCGAAGAACACAGAAAACATGGAACTGGAGTCTATGTGACAACTATTGGACCACATGCGGCCATCAGGGATGTTGCCTCGATGAGCGTTTGTGCTGATCCGGGCCAACTGCGCTGGTCAGAAGGCCTCCGTGTCAGGGAGGCCTTCTGAACAATGTGACATGATATATCTTTCTTATGGCATCCGGATAAACCAGGAGATCCTGCCCCCTGTCGCCAGAACGACAGCCGGAAGAGCCATCTCACCAGCCAATGTCCAGGCCGTATCTTGGCATCTACCCTGTGGGGTCAGATGCCTCCTTGACGACCCAAAATGCCTACCCGCTCGTGGAATTTCGCCTCCACAGAAAACACAATGTTAAAATGGACGAAGAATCCTGGGAAGCTTTATGGCCTTATTTGCCGAATGACAGAGGTGAGTCGAATGGGCAAGATTGCGCACCATTAAGAAACAGCTTTAAATGCATATATGGCATAACAGCCATAGCATTGGAATAAAGAATGATAACAAACTCCATCTCTACCCCCCCCCCCCCCCCCCCATCATCGGGTTCGCTTTCCAGAAAAAGTTTCTGAGGCACACCCTGAGCTTGCCCCCTCCCCCCCCCCCACACACACTTCTTGAAACGTTCCTACGCCTAGGTTCACCTCCATCTAGCTTCGTCCCACACCGCCAGGTCTCGCCCGGAAATACTAACAGGTTGGCAGTAATTTTGGGCTTTGTGACCTCACAAACGGCTGAAAATGTTTGTGGCCAATATCCTCGATTTTTCCACTGCCCGCAACACCATGGATCCACGCGTCGGTTGATGTGAACTGTGCGACGAATGCAAGGTAAAACGCTATGCGTCGTCATGCTATCGCACATACAGCTAAATGATGTCGGCAAAAGTATTCCAAAACGTCTTGTGCATCTGCTGCTTTCGACACCGCATGGGCTTCGCACCAGCTTCAGTCGAGTTTATTGGAAGTGCGAGGTCTACGCTGGCGACAACCCTCACCTTAGCGGTCAGTCAGGAACCGACTATAGCGAAAGAGTCCAAGAGGTGGCGGACCAACCCTTCTCCCGCTATAGGTTACGCCTGTCAGCTCGGGGCGCAGTGCAGACGTAAGCGAATGCAGACCAAAGCCATCCCCAAATTGATTCCCTGTCCAGTTGGCTGAAGCTTTCATCTCTCCCTTCAATTTTCTCCCCCGTGTCATCTCACCTCGTTACTAGGCACCAGCCGTCCGCTACCAGCGTGATTCTCAATTAATTCAGGTCTCTTTCTCGCCGCACCCCTGACCTCCCCGTTTCACACCGCCCCAGCTAAAACCGCAGCTGTCACTTCTCCCCGCCGGTGTTTTTGAAGCAGAAAATATGGTATAGCAGATTATTTCCATAAACTTAAATATAATGAGATGTACCCTCACGGCAACATATTCATGAATTCGAACGTTAATCAATTTATGACATAATTTTAATGGCGTATTACTAGTAGGCTGGAAGGAAAAAGCAGATACTGGCATTTGTTGCCGCTGCAAAACCCGCCGGTCCGTAGTTAATGTTCCTGACTGTTTGACTACCTAGGTGACGCTATCTAAAAGTAAGTCTCGATATAGATGGCAGCACGTAGCCAGGGTTCGGAATAGTTTTAGGACAAAAGTGCGTATGGGATGAACTGTTTGGGGCCCAGGGATCCCAGTTGGAGAGGTACATGACTAGGGTGCAAACCACTTCTGCATGCGACTGCGCAGAGGCAGTTTCAGGCATGAGACACATGGAACAAAACCGAATTTGTTCGCGTAGGTGTAAAACATGATTTAAAGGAAACCTGTTATTTTCACTCTGCGATAGACGGATAGGATACCTCACCTACACGGCACATCAAATTTCTCGGTGTAATGGTAGAATCAACGTTTTCGTGAGAAAAGCACATCAAAAAGTCGTACAAAATGCGACGGAATTATAATTTTATGCCATTATCCATTATTTTGCATTACAATCAACGGAATGTAATCATGCTGTACCGACTCAGCCACTACTTTACACCTAATGATCTTAAAATTATGGAGACCTGCGTTTTTTCCACATAAATATGCGTATGGGTTGGTGTGATCAAGTGCCAGGTATAAAAGACTGAAGAAGTTTCCAATTTTGCCGCCAGGATTGTATTTGGCATAAAACGCAGCCAGCATACAATACCGACTCTGGAATCTAGGCTGGCCCCGAACTGATTACTTGGCGAAAGAGAGGGACGTACTGAAAGTATTCAAAGCCCTAAAATGCAAAGAATCGCCGCCGGCTGTTCGATCTCTTTAAGCCACGTTCCTCTCTTTCACTGAGGGAGACGCGCTCCTCTATACCAATGTCTCTCCACCTGCACAGGTGCCGATTAGAAGCCACCAAGTGAGCCTTTCGTTATCGTGCCGGGTCAGCTTGGAGCCGCCTACCTCTGGCCACCACTGTCTTCATCTCTGACTTTCGAGGGATTAAAGACTCGCATTTCAAAGCCCAGATATTAGGTCATACATCTTGGTTTTGATTATATGCTAGTTACTGGTGTGATCGCATTGGATTTTATGTTATATTCTGTAATCTAGTTCATAGCGTCGTATGTTATGGCATATTTCGTACCAAAGCCTGTTATATATATATATATATATATATATATATATATATATATATATATATATATATATGTATATGTATATGTGTGTGTGTGTGTGTGTGTGTGTGTGTGTGTGTGTGTGTGTGTGTGTGTGTGTGTGTGTGTGTGTGTGTGTGTGTGTGTGTGTGTGTGTGTGTGTGGTGTGTGTGTGTGTGTGTGTGTGTGTGGTGTGGTGTGTGTGTGGTGTGTGTGTGTGTGTGGTGTGTGTGTGTGTGTGTGTGTGTGTGTGTGTGTGTGCATTGTTACGTGTTGTAATGTGTTTTTGTAACATGTTGTGAGCGAGTGATGTAACACCCGAGGCTACCGAATGTTGCAATGAGCCGAAATCTGAAAAGCCACCTCGTGGTTGGTTGTCGAGAAAAAAATAATAAAAAAGTACAACTACAGTCTACAACGGACACTTGCACCCATTCGCGCCATCACCATGGGCGTTTGTCCTGGCCTGCCTCTGAACTAATGAGTCCACTCATGGGGCGACGTAGCTACAGGTTTGGCCGCGGTGACAGAGGGGTAGGAGGCGGAAGGGCTCGGCCCGTCGTCTGTGGCCGGTAAAGGGTCGCAACATCCGGCCATTTTTATCCAACAGCCGAGTCGGCGGTGCCCGGGCGGGGAAGGCCGTCGTGTGGCACGCTGGCCCATGACAATGATTCCTTGCATGCTTGACTGTCAGATTGAGGATCTGTGTTGCAACCTGGTCTCAGAATGTGTTCGGGTCTCTTAATTGTCATAGATCAGACAGAAGTAGCTTAACTTACGCATATTTACTATACTACAACTTACTTAGTCTCTTAGTTGTCAGGTAAGCATTGGTGAACAAGCTTACAAATCAGCAGTAAAGCTTGCATAGCAACGGAACAGCGCCGCTTAACGTAGAGCAATCCTACAATCATCAACAGTGTTATTCATATCAGCAAAAGCACTTTTCGCCTGCATCTGGTTGTCCAACATCACGAGGAGCGTGAAGGAAGTCAATGCAGGATAGTTTTCCTGGTCAGTAGAATCTGTCAATGAACAAGCCAGCAACCGTTGGGATGCAAATCAGTTAATTACACTTCTTTGCGAATATTAAGCTGTTCCTTGCTCCTCCACAGAGGTGTAACAGGCGTTTTGATGACAAGCCACCATGGACGCTGTCACAATTGACATACGCAAAGCGTATGCAATTGTTCGTAAACGAATGTGCGTAAACTGTCAAGTTCGCATGGCAGAATTTCGTACGCAAAAGTGTGCTTAGAAGTGTGTGAGCTAATATTCCTATGATATAAAGTGCGCATGAAAAAATGTTTGCATTGACACAAGTTTATCGGGATAAAAGCTCATAGAATGAACAGCTCGTATGTATAAATTGCGTAGCAATTTTTCTTAGGCAGTTGAATGAAGTTTTCGTAACGAATAAAGTTGACATGGCGAAAGCATGCGCGCAAAAGTTCGTGAGCAGCATAGAAGCGGGGTCCTTGGGTGCCCCCCAAATTTCTAGAATGCTGGACATTAAGCTTAGAGAGAACTGCATAGAAAGAATTGCCTTCGAGATGGTGGCTAATTCTTTTACGTACAGTGTTCCAAGACCTACTGACCACCAGCTCAACAAATTATGCACAGTCAGCTCGCAAATTCCTTCAATTTTTTTTTCCTGGAATGACCTAAGGTGTGAATTTGAGTTTACGATGTCTAGCTCTTTTCGCGTGCAGTTTAAAAGTGATACTCTCGTACAATGTCGGGTCGGACGCACACAAGGTACTAATCGAAGGGAGTGAATTGAAGAGGGCCTATGTAGCGCATCATTCTCTTTGGACTCCGATTTGCCGCACATAAGCAACCGCATGCCAGGTCTCATTGGCGCGTCTGACCACCGTATTCCACAAGCAAACTGACCCTCAACGCGTCCATCAGTTGGTGTCAGTGACACATGGCACGCCCACGGGGTGTCACGCGGAGCCTTCATCTATCTTTGTCTGTCTCAACGCGTCCATCAGTTGGTGTCAGTGACACATGGCACGCCCACGGGGTGTCACGCAAAGTCTTCGACAGAGCCTTCGTTGGAGTGGAGTTAACGGGAGAGCACAGCCGCTCGGCAGGTCACCTGCAGTGGACACGGCTCTTAAGTTGTCTAAACCTCCAGCCACCTCCATTCCAGGTCCAGTCACCTCCATTCATCGCTCACTGCTCCAATTTACTCGAGTTCATTTGCTGACCGCCTCAGGGCGTTTAGCTTCATGTCATAAAGAGTCAGGATAGTCATGATATTTCGCCTGGTCTATTGGTAAGGCGAGGCACTGACAATTGCGTAAATGCAATTGTCTCCTGTACCACCAACCCCGTCTTCTCTCCCCAGCCGACGGGATGCAGAGGCCCCCGCAGCAATCATTCATCCGACGGCTACCACCAAGGGTTGAGATCTGCCCTCGAACTTGTAGGATACGTCTGCATACGACGTTTTCAGCACGTGCTTTGCCAAACAAAATTTGTGCCTGAGAAACATTTGAGCATGAACTTTGTGTACGTGCTTACATGATGTATCAGCATACGAAGTTTTGTTCAAATACTTTCGTCAAACAAATGTACCGTGATGAGCATTTGCGTCTATACATTGTGCAGCTACATCATATATCTAAGAACGAACCTTCGCTTGCGTACTTTTGCCAAAAGAACATTGTCCTTGACCAACATTTGCGCGCGAGCATTTGGGGTTCAAACAATTGTTTAAAACCTTTCTTCACACAAACGTTTGCGAGCACGAATATTTTCATCCAGAACTTTGTTCCTATTAACATTATCTCACGCGATATTTATGTGTACATACTTTTTCCATTAAACCAAACTCGATATGAAATGTATGCCCTACGTCCCTTATCCTGACAAAGGCATATGAACTTTATGATACAGGCTACGAACGATCGCCATTTGTATTTTTTGTATACGTGCTTTTGTCCACAGTCTGTTCGGTATAGCAGCCGGCAATAAATCAGTCTACAATATTGGGCTGTTGTCGTGTTATGTATCCGACTGCTCAACGGGTGTGGTTCGTGCTAATGCAACTGGAGGCTCGACTCTACCGACCGACAGATACGCTCTATACATTCCACTAAAATTTGAAAGATTAGATCTTCTAAGCGTGCCTACCCGTGTGTGTGTGAGAGGAGAGGAGAGCTAATTGTGTAAGACACGCTGCACAGTGCAGTGGGATCTTCTCCACAAATATTTTTCTTCGATCCCAGAGTCGAGGCTCAAATAACCCAATAGGGTGGCAAAAATTATCACTTGGGTCATCGATGCAAGTCATGAAGCTCCGCCACGTTCCTGGTATATTATAGTTGATGGTTCGAGCATGATTTTGATTTATTTCACCACTGGTGTCTATGTAAGCCTTGTTTAAAATAAAGAGGTGTAAGGAATAAAATGCGTAGGTAAATGAAGTTATGCGATGAGAAGTAGCCAGCACCGTCAAGTTCATATATTTACTTTGCTTAATCCTACCCCTAAGCGGGGGCCTTCTAACTCGGGCCTTCTACTAACTGCGCCACTCGGGCCTTCCGTTCTCATCACCAAAACTTTTCATCTTGAACGCCGAAATTTGGTGGTTTGTTCTGATTATTAATCTGACATTCCCATTCATATTTGATCCGATTGTCTACTTA